ATATCTTTGTCTACCTACTCTATCGTTGCATCTCTATTCGTGTTGGAGAAAGAAAAACTTTTCTCTTAATTCCTTTTCTGATAACCTAGGCGCCTATGCAGCTACTGCTTTAGCTATTCTCTATCTGCAGCAATAGAAGAGATGCGGTGAGGTAGGTAGTAATGAAAACTCTGAAGAGGAACGCTTATCTGGAAAGGTGGTAATCAAATGCAACAGTACTTACGGAAGTGGACTCAATATTGCGACACGCGTATTATTTGCAGATAGACATTTACCGCTAGAGACAAGAAAAAGGCGGGCAGCGAATAGGATGGCAGCTTGATAGAATCATACGTCTAAGACATACATATATGTACCTACATTAACTATGTAGGTAGGCACTGTGTGAGAATATAGAACAATCGTTAGTCTCAAGTTGGATGACGGGATTTTGTGTGTGCCTGACCAGTCTTATACTCTAACTTATACTCTGACAACCTCTATACCGCGATTTAGGTGACATAGGTACCTGGTATACGTAACAAATCGATCTACCACGTTGCCAGGCCGTGGCATGACACGAGCACGGCAGCAACATGGCACAATGCAGGGCGAGGGCTGAAAGCAACAACGGAAGATTATTGTCCTTTGCGCAGCTGTTTTGGGGGCGGCAGTAGAGGACGTAAAAAGCAAGGAGTAAGGCAGTGTAGAAAGCGTAGATGTATTGGGCCCCGGTGTTCCGGTCCCGACACTTTGTCTAAACTTTTATTTTCCTAAGTGCTGTAACATTGATATGCGATCCTATCCACGATCGAAATTGAAATTAGCAGTTAGAAGGTATCTAGAATATGTGTATGGATTGTGGCTAGAACGAGCTATGAATTCCATCCCGCATTACTTGCATAGCTTCCTCCTGGACCTTATACTATTCCTACTACAGCTACACACACACACACACACACACACTGGAAATCAGCTAAGAGACTTGAGAATGCCAGAATGCAGCAATCAGCCCCTTGAAGACGTAACCAATCTTGTCGGGATGAAAAGGAGTGAACCAATCGGGCCTAACATCATGAAGAATGAAGAATAACAAAACTCAAAAAGAGGGATAAAGGATTAATTAGCCCAACTGCGGACAGGGGAACAGTACAGCATGAGCTATCATTTCTTCAAGGGGTTGGCCGTATTACGTAGGCACTACGCAGTCGAAGAAAGCAATTCATAACCACCATCATTACCAACGTCCCATATGCGTACTAAGTAGGCAATTGTCATCAGCCGCTCTCATAATCTCATCGAGTTTCCATAGCCCTTCTGGAAGCCCTGCTAGCCGTTCCACAACATGGGAGAGAAAGAGAAAGAGTAAAATCCTCTCATTTGTTTCCTTTCCCTCTTGAGACTGGATCATGATCATGCACTCTGCAGGTACTGGGCGGTATGCAGTAGTGATCCTGATAAGCAGTGATCACCCCTCCAATACCAGACCTAAGTTTTTGCCGCAAAGGAGATCCCGGAGTTTACTTTTCAAACTTGTCCGTAGCATATTGTGTCAGGTCTCAAAACCAAAAAAGCCTTTAGCCTCGTTTCCTTCTTGTTCCTTTCGTCCTAGAATACGGGATGCTATGACATGCATATAGTAGCAGTAGCAGTAGCAGTAGCATCATTTACAACTAAATTTTCCGCACATCGTAACGTGAACAAGTAACTAATTTTGATTTGATTTTACCCATGTCTGCCAGGAGGGTAATTTGCTTTGCTTCGGCCAGTAATTCGGGCAAATTATGACGGGTTGGGGATAGATTAGCCCACATAACTGCGCGAGATTGCGGGCTAATTGGTCGAAATGATAGCAAGGTGAGGATGCGGAGTGCGGTGGGGCCACATGATGGTTCTATAAATAGCCTATTTTTTTTAGCATTTTCGGCTCGGCTGTTGTACATAGTGGAATATCTAACCTATCGAGTCAAGTTACACAAGCCAATCCGGGTCCCGGGGGGGCCATGCGAGATGCAGATGCGATGCGAATGCGTGCAAGGTGCAAAAGTTATAAAATAGCAAAATCATAGATTCTGATTGCTGATTGCACACATCTGCTCACCCAGCCTTGTGATATGCAATGCAATTGCTTGCAGCTAGAGACACGCGATTTCTTCGTTGGAAAAATAGGACTCTCTCCCGTTCCCGGGCGCTTAACCGCCGTTAGATATCGGCCCCGATTTTGAGGGGCTGCGCCGCCAAGCGACATGAGATCCTACCGTTCTATCCCCTAACTGTTTTTATCCGACCTTTTTGTTTTCCCCCCTTATTCCTTGTATCAACCTACTACCTATTACGCTATTTCACCGTCCCAATTAGTCTCGAAGCTCGTGTTGTGTTACTGAGTATCGTAACAATGCTAGAAATGTACTATGCATGTTGGTGCAGGACGGGCTCGGCACCGAATCGCCAACAAGAACACTCCGTCCCTCGCGCTTAGATTTGGTTATACTCCCCGTGAATGGCGGATCAAGTTAGAAATGCAGAGATTGGGTAACAGCGGTGATGGAGTTTGGTCGATCGCCTTCACCAACCGTTGCGGCTTTGTCGCGATTCTACAATAGCAGGGGTGCTATACTGGTCAAGGACTCGCCCGACAAGAGTATGCCGTTTCTATAATCATGAGCCTCTTTTCTATACTTGGAGAAACAAGCAGACAGGCAAGCGTCAAAGTCTGCAAGTTGCGTAACATGTACCCTCATCTATCTAAGTGCTATTACGTAGAAACAGACAGACCCGTCTGATGTGATAGGTAAGGACGGAGGCAGAGACTGTTCTGGACTTGTTTTCCCCGGACCCGATGCTCGCAGATCTCCGCAAGGGTCTTCTCCTTATGGATATTATCCATATTGAAGCCGGCACAGCTATATAGTCTTAGACAGCAGCCGCGAAGATGCACGGCGTAAGGGCAAATATACGGGCTGGCACGTTTTAGTCAATCTCTAGCGAGCTTAGCGAGCGGCAAAATTCAAGGTGCGGTAGTTTCAAGGGACTCTATTACACTGAGAACACATGACCTTGGACGCCGCGGGTGTAACTCAAGATTTTTAGAAATTGGCGACGTTCGAGAAGCAAAAGAAGTAAATTATACATCGAAGCTTAATTGATGCTCGCCTATCTCGCCGGCCCCTGAAATTATACCTTGCGATGTACATACTATGTATGTGGGTAAAATACGTATTATTGTATACATCATGAGGCTCTATTAGCGTAAGTACCGCCATATCTAATATGTATCTACGCAGCAAGGGATGGGTGATTGGCGTGTACAATATAAAAGGAGGGATGAGAATTCAATTTGGGGGCGGTTTCAAGTGATGAAACTTTTCTCCTCGTGGATAAGGATTCTTTAGGAACTTCGAGCCACGGACTACGGTACAGCGTTGATTGGCTTAGCTAGGTTGGCTTAGCTAGATTGGCTCGAGTCGCGGTAAGAGGTTCGCAATAGTGATCGATGACGACGATGCGCAGTACCAATGATCTGAATCCCTTAAGTGAGCGAAAATAAGAATCGAATTGTCCGGATACCGATTCGTCTCTGCCCTTTGGGGCTGTACCTAGGTAAATCTGCAAGGCTAGAGTGTATCGTGTATCGTGTGATGTATCTCTCTACTCGACTTTCTCAAAAGGGCGATTGGGCGCTTTGCGGTAAGTCTAAGCCACATAGCTGTTCTTTTAACTTTCACGAACGTTGGCTTGACCCATTTGGTCCTTGCAGCCTCCGCCATTTTATCCATCTGTACATGTAGTACATCAGTTGCGCTGTTGCTCGCAGTTCCATTGCAGTGGACAAACAACAGGCTACAGAAAGAGGCGGCCGGGGCTTGCTGCCAGGGGTCTTTTTCTCCCCTGTGGCACTCGGTCGCGCTACACGCTAGGGCTGGCAGGCTGGGCTAGTGTAACTAGGAGGGTAGGTGCATGCATAGCTAATTGGAAGGTACCTAACTGCCTCTTAAGTCATTAAACCCATCTGTTAACCAACCATCAGACTTACGTAAGGCTGGGTTTGCATGCACCTTTACCGAGTTGGGAAACTGTATATTTCTGCGTATACGTAGACAGGTAGATGCAATATCTAAGTGGGTACTTGATAGCTTAGTGTATATACATATGTTATATAGTTGCGTAGCTGCGTAGCTGCGTAGCTGCGTAGTGTACTTTATAGTGTACTTTGTAGTGTGCACCACAGCAGTGTTGCAGCACACCTGCAGCGGACAATGGCAGAAGTTAGAAGAGGTACCTAGGTACACTACTATGTAGAGAAGTGGGTCGGTGAACGGTTAACTTAGGACCTTTCCGCTCCTAGCGAAAGGGTCTACCTTGCAAAGTACCTGGCTAACTAATGCTAAGAAGTATTAACCTGGCTAAGCTAGTCAGCTAGGCCTCACCTGGTTTAGCATGCTTAAATTCTTAAGCAGAACTTGTCCTGAAGTGTGTGTGACACCATCCCCCCTCCCTCTCTTTTCCTTTCCCCCCCAATTCCTTAACCTTTTTCCCACTTTCTCTGTTTCTCCCGCACACAAAAAAACTCGAGTGAACACGATTCTGTCTATTATTAGAACCAACCACGCCAGATTCAGCCCCATCGTCCTGCAAGTCCCAAGTAGTGCACCGATTGAAGTATTGTATCAATGTATATCTCGGGAAACTGATTCAAGAAAGAAAAAAAAGAGACGACAATCCATCATAGCCTAGTTTGTTTACTGCGTGCACCATACTCATACTTTTAAACCATACTTTATACATCATCCCCAAGAAGTTCTCCAAGAAGCCAGAGTTCAGAAAGATACTTCTACCACGGCCCCTCCACCTTCTCTCCCGTGGATAAACCCGTTCAACAAGAACCATCCATAAACCACCGCCGACCCGTTTCAAATATTAGAACCCGGCTATCCCTCCTAACCCTCCATATCTAACTTGCCATATCCACTCACTCATCATCCACTCGGCCAGCATCCACTCGACCACATAATACTACAGCCTACCACCTACAGCCCTTCAGCCCCTTCACGTCAGATTAAGTCATCGCTCGACACAACTTGTCCAGCCCGGTACCATACACTTCTAGTCCAGTATATACTAGCCTACCTGTCAGATATAATCATACCTTTCTTTCCTCACGGACCGGACCTTGGATGGGCAAATATATTTTACGTTACTACCCGTCGCGTAGTCGCTGTCAACCGACTCGAGGAATTCATACCCGTCAGAGTTAGAAATCCTGCGGCAATTGGGAGGCGAAGCCTTATCGCTTACCTACTTTGTTCCTTTCACATTTCTATATTCTATATTTCTTTCTTCAACCTATCTTAGATTTACAGTCGACAAAATGGGACGGAGAAAGATTGAGATCAAAGCTATCAAGGACGATAGAAACCGCTCTGTGTAAGCTACCCTTCCACAATCCGAGTCCTTCGACTTTTCAAATCGCGTCCGCTTTCAATGGCTAACATTTCTGTCCTATAGCACGTTCCTGAAGCGAAAGGGCGGCCTTTTCAAGAAGGCGCATGAGCTGTCCGTGCTCTGCTCCGTCGATGTCGCCGTGTTTATCTTCGGCAGCAATAAGAAGCTCTACGAGTACTCCTCGAGCGACATGAGAGATTTGATCACAAGATACCAATATGTTGGTTTCATCCGTCCCCGTAAAAATTGAGGGGGCAGTATGATTGACAAAGGGATAGCATGGTGTTCCGAACGAACATAAAGGACCGCACGATTTCAATGGCGGCGATGACGACGACGACGAAGATGGCGAAGGTACTCCTCCGCATGGCCACGAAGGCTCTGTCGAGCCCCAGATGATCCCTCCCCATTTTCAAGGCCAACATCCTTTCCAACACTTGAGGCATCATACTCCCTGCCCTTCGCCTCCCGTTAACGGAATGCCATTCGCACCTCGGGGCCACACACCGCAACCACAAATCGTGTCTCGTCCATCGTCTCGAAATGATCCTCGTCGCGACCTGCGCGTCCCTCAGCCGGGACCTCCCCAGCCAGTTACCAACGGATACGCGTATATGCCTCAGCCAGCTATCTACAACCCGCAGAGCCAATCTACTTACCAGCACGGAATCCCGCCGCCAGCTCCAGCTCAATACCAATACAGCAATGCTCAGCCGCTTGTACAAGTCCAGCAGTATATGGAAGACCAGCGCCGATCGTCCGTACCTCCTAGCTATCCTCAGCAGGGACCCCCGCAACCTCCGCGTCCTTCTCCGCCGCAATCTACTCACCAGTTACCACCGCAGCAAGCTCCTCACACGTCTCCACAACCGCCCCCTCAGCATCTAGAGCCCCCGCAGCACCAGCACCAGCACCAACACCAGCATGCGCCGGAACCGCAACAACCTCCTGCGCCCGTGGAACCGAAGCACGAACCGCTCCAGGAGAGATCCAGCCAGCCTCGATTGGATACTGTGTCCGCGATCAAGAAAATGCCGCAGCGTAAGCAACATAGCATTTTCACTCCGATTGACGAGAACCGATCGATTTTGTCTCAGCATATGGCCTCGTTCAACGCGGAACCCCGGACAAAGGATGATGGAAGCCGATCGCAGTCGGTAGACGTGAGCGCCGTTTCGCGATCCAAATCCGATTCTTCCCCTCCTCTTCCCCAGCGCTCTAACACTTCTAACTTGAGTCATTCTCGCAATTCTATTCCTACAATTCCCGAGACTACATTCACCCCTCCTTCTCGCTCGAACAGCCTAAAGGTTGGCGGCGGAGCGCGCCCCCGTCTAAAGGTACAGATCCCCGAGGAGCAGTCTGACAACGGTAGTACAGCTGGTGGTGATACGGCCACTTCACCCCGCACTACCACGGACACGACCACGCAAGTGACGCGCCGGAACGGCATAGAAGGCCCCGGGACTGGGGTAGTACTCCCCCCTCCTTCGCCATCAGCATCGGCTATGCTATCTGCGGGAGCCACTGGGCCGCCAAATCCATTCGCTAGACCCCATCCTCAAACTCAGAATAATAGTATGAACATCGATACGCCCGTATCGGCGCTCCCATCAAGGTTTCTTAACAACGAGTTCTTGCCTAGTCCCAGCAGTTTCTATCCGGAATGGAACTTCCGGGGTACTGATAGTAACACACTTCCGAGTCCTCTGAATTTTGCTACGCCGGTGGTTGGTTCGGGCCCTTCTTTTCTGAGGGACGACACCGGACCGAGCGCTACAAAGCGGAAGAGCCCGGATATAACGGCCGGTCATGGTTCGGACGGGCCAGAAGGCGGCGAGCCCAAGAGAATAAGAGTTGACGGCTAATGGCATGCCGTCATGATTCTAACTCTGGGGCCTTTTGGCTAGTTATATATTTATCCCGTTTCAGTTTAATTCGTATTCATATCGCGACTCAGCTCGCAACTGTACAACATCTTAGAGAGCATCGACGGACATTTATAACTGGATCTCGTGCCGAACTTCTGGATACCTCGTTTGTTTTTTCCGCCTTCTACCCGGCATTTGCCAGTTTCGACTTCGACCTGTGGCGAATTCGCTCGTTTATGTTTGACGCCATGCAACTACTTTTTGCTTCACTTCTACAGCATGGCGTGGCGCTCAGGGGCGTTTTATGGTCACTTTGCAATTGATTGAAAGTTTTCACCCCCTTTATCAAAATCATTATAACCATACGACAATACAGCTTTACTCGCTGTTTTAGAGAGACGGACATGACGCATGAGTAATGGGAACTTGTGTGGTGTGTGTGACTTTGCTATCTTGATATCGCATTTTCTACGCGGGAAAAAAGTCAGAGACGGGAAACTTGCGCGTGAGAGACGAAACATCGGGACGGCGTTGGGGCTGGTGGAAACTTGCAGCTTGTACACTATTACAGTTTGATTGATTTACCTAGGCTTGTTTGTTAGAGATACCAGTGGTGGATTGGGCATATGTTACCATATCCTGAATGAGACTAGCATTGACCTTGATTCTTGCCCGTTTTCGTTGTTCTGCTATGATGTTTGCGATTTGGTGGTTTACATTATTGCTACGTGTATAGGAAAAGGGGCGCAATGGTTCGAGAAATTCAAATGATGTCGATCATCACGTCTTGCTGATCTACTAAGGGTTCGATGCTACTAACTAAAAGGCCTTAGGTAGTTCAGATGAAGAGCCGGCAGATATTAACCAATGAGAAAATATCGGCACCGGAAATGCAGGATTCGCTACATCCTACGGGTCAGCCATGACGTCGTGGCTTACCGGCTGGCAGGGCTTGAATGTATATAGGTAACCCCCTAGTCGGCGAGCTGAGTAACGAGCTGTGTCTGTTACGGACGTAAATCCTAGGTAGCTGAGCTAACTTGCCGGTCTTGGGAAGGGCTTATATGAATACGCATACATACGGTAGGTATGTAAACAAATAAGCTTTGCCCATGTTCTTTCTTTTCGGTCCGTGTTTAGTGTCTATGCTTCCTCCGAATTCTCGTGCGTAGTGGAAGAGGAGGTGAGTATGTAGATTAGGATACGATAGAATCTCGTGTCTGATCTGAGATAAGTAGGATGAACGAGGCGTCAGGGCATTCTTAGTCTTTAACTTCTACACTATATATCTATCCATACTTTTATTCATTGTCACAGTACAGGTCTTTGCATCGTTCACTTCCCCTATAGCCATCGTCTTAGCCCAGCTAACACTACCTCCCCACGCATGCCGTCGGGAAGGAAAGGGGGTAGCGAAGGATCCGGCATTGTAGGGACGGGGCAACACGGGAAACGGACCGGATTTTAGTCCAGCCAAGTTAGGGAATCGAGATGGGACGAGAGAAAAATAGCCCCCACCCCTTAACAACGATATCTCCCGTACCATGCTACGAACGTAGGCATACAATGTCCGCGCATATGCATGCATCACGAACGCCAAGTCGCCGAGTCCATGGTAGCAAGCCAATAACTAGCCACGAAACTATTATGCGGCCCTATCTGCGCTGTCTCAGACCTGCATTGCATGCCGTCGTCCTATTATACCTGGTTAAGCCAACTAAACAGCAGATGTCAGAAATGTACGGTCTTGGGATGTATGCCGTGCACCCGGGGACTAAGCTATAGCGTCCGTGAGTGGAGAGGTAAGGCATAGCTCAGGTCGTAGGGCTGACTAGCTAGGGCTGTTATGGTTCGGGGTTGCGTTGTACTAGGCCAGCAGGCTATGTAGACGAATAGGCGCAGGCGAGCGGCTCACGAAGAGCGAGATGGCGAGGTGAGATAGGATGAGACGGGTATATAAGGGGTAAGAGGCAAACAACCCACCTAACCTAGCCTGGCGACTCGACTATGCCTCCAGGCTCTAAAACGTATATAATACTTAGCTGACAGACAAGTCACTTGTCTCACGAAGCCGCCCGGTGAACGATAGACGGGTAGATAGGTAGTAGATCGATGCGGTATGTGTCACCGGTGGCTAGTTTTAGCTTAGGATCTTGTATTACTTGTTCACCGGTCGGCCGTGGCTTGCTCAGCTTAGCACTTCGTATCGATCTATCTATCCGTATTTGCGTAGAGGAAGACATAAGATTGCATCGTCTGACCTCTTCACGAGGCAGATAGGCAAACCAGGTAAACCGAGTAGAGGCTAAGCAGATCAGATGGCTATGTTTTATATAAACCGTGCCAAGTCCGGGCTCGGGGGCCGGGCCGGGACCGCGACTAGGCTTTCGCTTAGCCGGAGTATGGACGTGGCGCGGGTAGGTGTTTGATTTAATACGGATATAGTTTGCGATGGAGTATGCTCTGTATTAGGTACCCAGGTATGCACTATACTCTACAGTAGGATTAAACCGTCTCCTTTAGCATAAATATTATGTACCCCTATAACTAAGTCTAAGCAAGTGTAGATATCTATCCTAGCTCAGCTGAGCACTCCGCCTTATGCCGATCCCCTACGTATCTCGACCCAGATTCCGGGACAGAGTAAAGTTAGACAATGAAATGATTCCACCAGCGAAAAATCCCGTATCGGTTTCACACAATGTTTTTTATTGAGATGATCCATATCTACCGGAAACGGTATTTAAAGCCTAGCGCCTAGCTCCCGAATCGAACCTCAGGCCTCGCCTTTGGATGCTGGCGGGCTGGCTGGCTGCTTTGTTCACATCTGGAGAGAAGATAATAATCTGCTAGTTAACTTTAGTGGCCTATTGCCCACACCGAAAAATCCAGCTGCCCAAAAAAGATTTGCCATCGAAGAAATCAACGAGAAAAAAAAGAAAAGAAAAAAAGACGCGTCAAGTACCCCCCCCTCAAACAAAGTAAGCACCAAGGTATCTTCCAAGCTCCTCTTCCCCTCTTCCTAGTCCGCGCGCGCGAATGGGTATCTTCCACCCCTCGTCGTCTCATTACTCTTCACCTCGGAAGCCAGAAAAACAACCGAAAAGGATTAGTCCGCTGTAGTGCTTTGTAATTTTTCCACGCCAGATGCAACAGCAACCCAAGAAAATCTCCGGCTCATAGCCAAGCTATGCGCTCTTACATCCAGGGTTACTGTCGCCTTGAAGCGATTTTCGTAAGAGACCGAATAGCTGCTGATTTTGGAAAATTCCAACTGTATTTGCACGTTGGACGTCAAAGTTCAAATTAGTAAACCGAAATTCTCCCCGTCTGGTTCTGGCTGCGAAAGAAACATGGGATGGTCATGTTCTAATGGTATCATCGAAATAAGAAAAGTGCTTAATGCCAGATATTAATGAACAATCGGCCTTGGTATGCCGAGTATGAATAAAGCGAAGAGCGTGTCCGAAGAAAACTCCAGGCGTGCAGATGCAGGCGAATTCATAATGCAGACATCCGTTTGTATCGTAGCCAAGTCGTCATCTAAAACATCGCTCCTAGCGGCGACTGGAGGGAGTTGCGGGGCTGCTGGCACCCTCCATGTTACCTGTCAGCTCAGCGACACGGGCCTTGATACGGGCTACCCGGGACTCGATTGCTGCTATACGTTAGCGGTTGAATTACTAGGCATAAAAAGTAGGGTGCTTACTCTCTTCGCCACTGGTTTCGTCGCCATCGTCCGTCGTCTTACTGTATGCACCCCGGCTCTGCTCTTCACTTGGTCGAGTGACCCGTTCGGCGGCATTCTTTCTAATGGCGGCCCATCGGTCTTGCATAGGAACGCTTGGTGACGGAGCTCCCGCATCATCGTCATCATCGTCATCCAGGGCGGGGTGGCGAATAGAATGTCTGGCAATAGGTGGCGGCGCAGCAGAATCGACACTCTGATCATCATCGGGGATAAAGGCAGGCTGGTCTAGGAGAGGACCTTGATCAAAGCGGGAAAACTCAGTGTGGGCTTCCGCGGCATCAGCAGTATCAACACGAGATAGATTGTCGTCGATTGATGGTTCATATCCTTGTCCGGGACGTACTGGCGTTACTGGGGTTTGCGTCGGCGTCTTTTCTTCGGATCGTTCCACTAGAGCTTCGAGATCTGGAGATGCAACCGATTCTGGGGACATAGGCGGCTGAGTCGCCGGGGCCGGGGACTGAGATTGCGCTGCTAGCATACTGTTCACATCTGCGGCGGCATTCTCGGGTAGCTTGGATTGTCGATTCTTATTTCGGCCAAATAGCTTCTTAAACCCGCTAGACTTGGACTTTTTGTCTTCCTTATGAAGTTTCTTGTGCTTCTTGCCCTCAGGACTATTTGGTTCAGGGGAAAGCATAGTCTCGCGGGCTGCTTCTACGCTTTTCCCTTCACGCGGAGTGGGAGGCAAAGGCGAATCTCGACCAGTTTGTTCTGACCGCTGAGCAGGGTGAATCGGTTGCGGAGCTGCAAGCTTCTTTTCCGGAACTGGAGCTGGAACCGGAGCGGGTTTGGGCGTCACCGGGGCTTTTGGCTCAGGTTCAGGCTGAGATTGAACTGAAATAGGAGACTGCGGGTGTTCCTGGACGTCCGGTTTAGGGCTACCGCCATTTGCCGTAAGCCCATTCGTTCCAGGAGGATGGCTAGGCATCTGAAGCGACGTTTGTGATACACCACGTCCAGCAAACGAATTACCGAGATATGCTGCACGGATAGTTTCCTTGTCGTATTTGCTGGCCCATTTCATGGCCGGTGAAGCTACATTTACAACACCTGGTTGCAGGGTAAGGATACTTTGAGTTTTTTCTCTCATCACCTCGGTATCCGTACGTCCGCGACGTTCCGCCTTAGGGCTAGCCTGCTGCTCTTGAAGCTGCCTAGCCTGCAGTTTTTGCGCCGCTGCCTGGATCTTGGCTTGCTGGTCGGGTCCGATGCTGGTCTTGCTCAGACCGGCGCCGGCACCGCCACCAGTGTTCAAACGATCATTCTTGTCGCTACTTGGCTTAGCGGTTGACTTGCTTCGGGAAATTCCTCTGTTACGCCTTGTCCAGCTGAAAAGG